GAATGGTAGCAAGAGTAGAGTAAGGAAGGAGGCAGGGTCCCTTGGTCTCACCTCAGTTCTGCTCCCTCGTGTTCACAGGACGTGGTTTGACAACAGGTTAGAAGTGACGGTTGCCACGGTAACCACATCTTTATCGCTGCCCATCCGCATGAGCCTTGCTTGGTGACCAGTCACCCCACCGGCTGCAAGAGGGTCATAGAAACAGCAGACCATTCATCCAGTGCCGACGTCCTCCTAGAAGGGTGTCCACCAGCCTCTCCTCTACCCGAGCCTCCAGTGATAAGGGCCTCCTGGCGACGGATGGGGAGTTGCTTTGAGGGAAGCCAGAGCAGTGAAGGCCATTTTCCATCCACAATGGAGGGCTGGGTGTGGAGTGTCCCTTCTGGGCCCTGCAATGCCGCCTGCCAGTCTCTCCTCTGCTCCTCACTGTCTGCCATCAGCTGCCTGTCTGCCTCCCTCTCCCAGGCTGACCCCTGGTGCTCATGGGGAATGGGCCCACATCTAAACCTTGGTGATAGCTCCCTGAGCACCAGGCACGAGGTGGAACTGTGGCTCAGTTCAAAAACATCAAGGCTCATAGCATTGAACCACATTTCTGTCCTTTCGTTGAGGTGCCCAGAGGGAGGTGGTGGAATTCCTAGTATGGGGAGGGGGGTTCCTCCTGCCCCGGAAACCTCCTGCTGCCTGTGCTGCTCAAGCTGAATTCAGGGAAGTGGCTTCTCTCCACAGGGCTGCCCTTCTAGCTACTAGCTACTGGACCTCTTTCCCTGCCTCCAGTTTTCCTCCTTCCTTTCTCTACCCCCTTCCCGGAGGCTGAGGTTTCTTGGGAGGTCTCCCCTGCTCGTCCTTTCCAAGAAGCCCTGGAAGTCGATATCTACTGTGTGACACCATCATTCCTTCATTGCTCTCGACACTGGAAACACCATGTTTAAATTCATATCCTTGCTTATTGTCTGTCCCCTGCCCCACCCACACCCCATTAGAGCATAAGCCCCCCCATGGCAGGACCTAGCTAGCCTTTGCACCTCCAGTGCCTACACAGTGCAGATGCTCAACAAAGCTTCCTCCAATGGGCCAGGCACGGTGGCTCACGCCTGTAATCCCAGCACTTTGGGAGGCCAAGACAGGTGGATCGCTTGAGCTCAGTAGTTAAAGACCAGCCTGGGCAACATGGCAAAACCCTGTCTCTACCAAAAACAAACAAACAAACAAACAAAATTAGTCAGGCATGTGCCTGTTGTCCCAGCTACCTGGGAGGCTGAGGTGGGAGCATGGCTTGAACGCAGGACATTCAGGCTGCAGTGAGCCATGATCCAGCCACTTCACTCCAACCTGAGTGACAGAGCAGACCCTGTCTAAAAAAACAAAACAAAAAAATTCCTCAAATGAATGAATCAGTGAATTAAGCCAGGATCAGGAATGAGGACACTTCCGTTCTGGTCCTCCCTGGCTGTGTGGTCGGGAGCAAGTTGCTTGCCTTCTCTGTCGTGTGCCTCAGTGTCTTCTGTCCGCAGAAAAGGATTCTACTCTGCCATGCCCGTGTGTCTGGAAACACTGTGTGTGGGTTCATTTCCCCCACAGCAACCCACGCACACCTTACCCATAGTGAGGGCTCAGATTATCTGCTGGAGCAAAGCAAGAGGGCAAAATCGCTTCGAAAAGTTACAGACATTCCATTGACCTTCAGAACTTTCCTGCTGGGCGAGGCACTGGCTGATTGTCTGAGTTTCTTGAGGTTGTTAAACCTCCTTCAAACCTTTCTAGAAAAAAAGATGGAGTAAAAATAAATACTTACTCTTTCTAGGTCCCAGAAAAACTCCAAGGAAAAGGTGGCCCCTAGAGATCTGTACTTTTTTTCTTTGGGTTCAGAGCGTTCAGTGGAGTGGGGCTCGGTGCTAGCCTTGCCTGCTCTAGCCTCCCTCTGCGCCCCTAAATCTTTCCAACCTAAAGAAAGCAGCCCAGGGTCAAGGTGTTTGCAGCATGGGCGGGAGGCACAAACAGCGGCCATAATGGCAATGTCTGCCCGCACGTTTGAGGCTTGCTGCAGGCCAGCGCGGCAAGTGTATTATTATCCTCTTTCATCTTCACGGCAGCCGCATGAGGAGGGTGCTATCGTTGTCCCCGTTTCATAGGAGAAGAAATTGAGGTTCACAGAGGTGGTGTCCTCTGATCTGGGTACGACAGAGGGAGGAGAAGAACCAGGTGTCGGTGCCTCAGCAAGAAAGGCCAGTCACTCTGCCGACCCCCTAAATGGTAGGTGAGGGGGCCAGAGAAGAAACGGCAGAACATCGAGGACCTGGTGCAAAACAGGGCTCCACAGAGGAATGAGGGACCCTGTTCAGAGCTAAGTGGAGGCAGCTCTTGGAAACATACCATGCTGCTCTGTGGGCTTCCCCAACCCAGTTCCTTTTAGCCACCTCCTGACACACTTATGAAACAGACACATACTCGCTCCTGTGTCTGCCCAGCCGTGGCTCCTGTGGTCTCTGCTTCGCTGAACCGTGCCACGCATTCATGGTGCCAGCTCTGAGCCCCCACCTCCTGCCCTAGCCTCGGGCTTCTGGAAGCTGCAGATGCACCCAGGGCTGAGCTCAGCTTTCCACCTCCCCGTCTGACTCTACAAAGCCTCCAAGGAGAAGAATGTGACTTTGCCTTCTCAGTCGAGAAGAAATTGCACCTCAGCGATATGAGAACAGCCAGATCGCTGCAGGGAGTAACCAGGAAGAGAAAAATTCCTCATTCTTCCAACTCAGAGTATCATCAACTAGATGAATGTTTTTTTGCCTAGAAAGCCCATCTCCCTCTCCCTCACTCCCCTACTTTAGCCGGCCTCACAGGAACCACGCTCTTCTGAAATTCCAGTTCTCCTAAGAAGCTTTACAAACATCCTAGAAGGAAGATAACCACCCCATTCTAGGATAAAAGGGAACTCAAGTCTCACTCTGCAAGCCCATTACAATCACGTCTTTTCCCTGCAGACAAAAATACATAATTTACCTCATGTGATTCTTGCCATACAATATTTATTGTGGCATATTCTTCAGTAGAGAGTGCCTCTAAGTTTATTCAGAATTTAAATTCTCAGGGGACCCTAGGAGGAGAGGCTGGGAAAAGCCTCCCCTCGCAACCCCTCACAGTGGCCAGGGTAAATGCTCCTTTATTTTCTCTGTTGCGTTTGTAATTCCATTTGCCCTTGGTGAAAGCTACCACCTCCCTTCCCATTCGAGTTGAATCTGCTCTACGGGAATCTTCCTCAATGGCTTTAGATCAAATTTGGAACTTGACTTTAGGTCAGTGGTTTTCAAACTTTGCTACACAGGAAATCACCTGGGAGTGTAAAAAAAAAAAAGAAATCATGGTGCTTAGTTCACACCCCAAACAAACTGCATCAGAAAGTCTAGAGGTGGGGGCCAGATATCCATATTTTTTAAAGATCCCTGGATGCCAGGTACCTATAGTCCCAGCTACTTGGGAGGCTGAGGCAGGATCACTGGAGCCCAGGAGTTTGGGGCTGTGGTGTGCTATGATCACACTTATGAATAGCACTGAACTCTAGCCTGGCAACACAGCAAGACCCTGTCTCAAAAAAAAAGGAAAAAATCCCCAGGAGATTATTTGCCGCAGCAACGTCTAGGAGGCATTGCCTGAGCCCTGCCTGATTTCCCACCCACAAATGCCTCCTTCCCAAGCACAGCACTGACCAGTGACCTTGACTATGCATTCAGCTCAGTCCTGGTCTCTAGACCACCCAGGCTGAAGGCGTGAGAATCTAAAGGACCTCCCACTACTTATGTGATCTCGCAAGTCAGGCTGTGACCTCGAGACCTGGTTCTGATCACTGCACTCTTCCCACAGATTCATTCCCACGTTAGACACGGGTTCTAGTAATGGAACTCAGTAACAACATTTATGCTGCACTCATAATGACTAGAGGACGGGCTTTCCATACAAAATCCTGTTTAATTATAATAACCCACTTTGCAGATGAGATGAGTTCAATAACAGTCTCAAAGTCACACTGTTGTTAAGTACAGCAGAACTAGCCTTTAAATCTGCATCCACAGACCTCAGAGCCTCCTCTCTTCATTACCACGTGGGATGCCTCTCCTATCCTTGATCCCTGTGACCAAGTGTCAGGTGGGGTGGGGGGTGGGAGGTGATATCCCATAGGACAGATGCCCTGTGGTTCTCTTTTTTCTGGGCCCTTCTGTTTTTGTTTGCTAGGACTGTCATAGCAAGGCACCACAAACTGGGTGACTTAACACAACAGAAATGTATTCTCTCGCATTTCCAGAGGCTAGAAGTGTGAAATCAAGGCGTCGACAGGCTCTGCTAGAACTCTGAGGGCAAATCTGCTCCCTGCCTCCCTCCTGGCTTCTAGTAGTTGCTGGCAGCCCACAGCGTTCCTTGGCTTGAACCCACATCACACTGGCCTCTGCCTCCATCTTCACGTGGTCTTCCGGGGTCTCTGTGTCTCCACAAGGCCTTCCTATAAGGACACCAACCACTGGATTTAGGGCCCATCCCAATCTAGTATGACTCATCTTAACTAATGACATCTGCAATGACCCTATTTCCAAATAAGGTCCCATTCTGGGGGAGCACTCCAACCCACTACACCTTCTGAACCCCAGGGACCCCGTTCTGGTTCTGACCAGAGCCCACCACTTGCTGACGACCTGTCACACCTCCGCCACCTAGTGCTTGCTCAGACTTTAGGGACAGATACAGAAGCTGCCAGCTTCTGCTCCCCTCTGTCCTCTCGGACACTGTGCTAGTTCCTCCCAGTATTTTCTAGCTGCTAAATGTATGTTGTTCATCTTGGATCTCTAGGTGCAAATGTCCTGGGGGCTGGACCCACACCCGTAGCTCCACTGGCCTAGACACCTGCCTGTGGGCCAGCTGGGAGAAGACATTCTCCACGAAGCCCCTGGCATGCCCACCCCATGCTCCCCTTACTATTTAGCGCTGAGATTGATTTTTTCTCTCTCTCTTTCCAGGAAATGGGTATATTGAAGGTAAAGAGCTAGAAAACTTCTTCCAAGAGCTGGAGAAGGCAAGAAAAGGCTCTGGCATGGTAAGCCCAGCCCTGTCTCCCATTGTTTGGGATTTTCCTGACCTATGCCTTTGAGCACGCTCTGTCCCAGTTATGTATGCCATAAACAGGCCTCATATCGCTGGTCTTGACACAGCATTTTATTTGTAAGGATAAAAAAATAGGCTATCACCTAAGAGTACCCTATCTCAATATCCTTGGGTGTCTGGAATTGGGGGCTATTCATGAATGGACACCAGGGGTTGATGAACCCTCCTGCAAAGCTGCAAAGCTTTATGTCTGTGTATGCATATATTAATATATATGCAGTATTTTTTTCCCTAGGGACAGAGTCCATAGCTGCTCTAAGGTGCTTAGGGGTCACGATTCCAGATTGGATGCCTAGGAGGTTTCAAGTGCCCTGATTCTAGACCGGAGTTTCTCAACCTTGGCACTGTTGGCATTTGAGGCTGAATAATTTGTTGTGGCAGCTGCCCTGTGCATTGTAGGAGTTTAGTAGCATGCCTGGATCTACCTGTGAGATGCCACTATCATCCTCCTTCAAGCTGTGACAATCAAAAATGTCTCCAAACATTGCCACATGTCCCCTCGGTGGGAGATTGGGGACAGATTCGTCCTCAGACGAGAACCACTGTTCCACAGCAACATAGGCTAGAATCCCCAGCAAGGAACTAGAGGAAAATTAAGGATTGCTCTCAGCCAGTATCTGAACCACACGGCACTGGCTGGCCTCATTCGTGGTGGTGTCACAACCTTCTAAGCCTGCCCAAAGTGACTCCAGATCACATCTCAGCCCCTTAGTGACAGGAATGTTCCTTTCCCTGGTGCCAACATGGCACGACTGAGTTTGCTAAAGGCTTTTGGGGGAGGTATGTGAAATATTGCAAAGCTCAGGTGATTGGAACTAGTCTGCTGTGATTCCCGTGTCTGGTTCTGGAGTACATGGAGTCAGCCCCACACCCTCCCATCAACTCCCTCGGGTCCTCTGGAGGTATCTCTACTGTCCCCTGCTGCGTGTCTGTTGGCCAATCCACTGTTTATTTGCAGCTCTTCAGGGAGCAGTTTGGGAGATGAGTCACAAATCTGCCAGTGAGCTCCTGGTTCAAAGCTCGGCAGAATGCCCCAATGAGAAGGAGGTCAAAGTGACGGGCTTAAAGCGTTGGAGGCAATTCATGGGTTTGTTTATCAACAGTTCTCCCGTCAACTCCTAGGATAATGAAGCCTGGATCACGGAAAGCATGGGCTTCAGAACTGACTCTGGGATCATGGGCTAGTTGGAGAAATGTGTTTTTATGAAGTGCTTTGCATCTAAAATCCTTCTCTTAGTCATTCCCTTCCTCAGATGTCATCGGGGTAATTTTCAAGTCTGTCAACAATCCCAACTGATGTCATCCAGGACTGGTTCTCAGAGCAGCTGTTATATGGTAGAAAGAATATGGGCCTTGGAAGCAAAAGCCATGAGTTCAAATTCTGGCTATACTCCCTGGGTGTCCTCTAGAGAAGTCATCTCGACCTCCATTAGTGTGTCAAATGGAAGGGCTATGAACTTCACAGGAGCTACTGTAAACTCAAAAAAGATGGCCACATTTGTGACAAGTGCCTGGGATCAGACTATGTACTTTTGTAAATATAAATAAATATTGATAAATGAATAAATATTGACAAATTGATACTAATTCCAAAAGTAAAAAGCAATCAGAGGGATTCAGGAGACTCTCATAAGTGATAGGATTTCCCTTGGCCCAATCCTGGGGCGCACACAATTCATGTGGATGTCATCAGCTGAGTGACGCAGGAGCATCAGCCATGCCAGATGGGCTCATCATCGATTAGGGAGAAGGAAGAGCTCCTTAATGCAAATAATTAATCAGCACTATCTCAAATCAGGGGAAGGTTCGAGAGCTTCAAGTCTATATTTAAGATAGGCAGCTGTGGGCCTGAAGGAATGTTTTAAGTTCTTTGCTTTCTCGTAGTCAGAATAATTGGGTGGACTATTTAAATTACCCTTCGGCTACAGGATGACCTCCTCCTCGTGTTCCTCCTGACATGAAAATCAGGAGTGAAAATAGTGTGGAATTGCCAGTTAGTCTTTAAAGAAGAAAATGAGCAATCCACCTTGCTATAATGAAGTGCTAACCTATTATGGGGCACTGGATGAAGTTCAGTTTGATTACAAGCTGCTTCAGTAAAGTGTTGAGGCCTTAGTTCTCACATCTGAGTGATGGGAACAAGTCCAAACCCTTCCTATAGAGTTGTAGCTTAATTCATCTCAAAGGCAGCAGGGCATGTTTGATTACGTGGTAGGGAGCATGGCCACGTGTCCTTTGAAATTTGTATGACTGAGCCTTGAAGAAGAGATGACTTGATTTGGAGGGGACCTGGAAAGGAAAACAACACAGCTGGGATCAATCAGAGCATCAGCAGAACCTGGTGCTGCACCCACTTATCCAGGATGGAAATGATTTCCAAGCCTGCTGCTCTGAGATCATGGTTCACATGAGCTACAGCAGCAAAAATCAGCCCCCTTTGTCTTTCCACAGATGTCAAAAAGTGACAACTTTGGAGAAAAGATGAAGGAGTTCATGCAGAAGTATGATAAAAACTCGGATGGGAAAATCGAGATGGCAGAGGTGAGCCCTGCCTCGCTGGTTAAGAGCTGTGTGGGAGGGGGCCTGGGCCCCTGTGCCTCTCCCAGGCATGAGCATCCTGCTGAGAATTGGAGTGAGGTGGGGGCCTCAAAGCTCCGGCACCCCCAGCACTTGGGCTGACCAAAGAGAATAGCAGGGGCTTTTCTTGTGTGTCACCCAAGGAAGGAGGAAGTGACAAACAATGACCAAAAACAGGGGTGAAGACCTTAAATGCCCACAGGGGCCAACAGGTATTGTAACCAAGTGGCAAGCCTAGCTGAAGACGCTAGGGAGGCTGAAGACAGGTGAACAAGAGACTCCATGCCCCACCTAAAGATATCCAAAGGATAATTTTTAAAAGTTACATACATATTCATACACATATAATCTATACATTTATAATTCACATCAGTAATTTACATATATAAACATATTATTTGCATATAACAATTTACATGTATCCATATATACATATATACATTCATATATGCACACATATATACACATACACACATACAGTCACACATACTCATATACAGGTGCATGTTAAACACCTCTGATAATCAGTGACCACGGTCAAGGGCTCAAGAGTGCTGGCTGGACTCTGTGGGCCATGTCTATAATCCCAGCACTTTGGGAGACCGAGGCGGAGGACCCTTGAGGCCAGGAGTTTGAGACCAGCCTGGGCAGTATAACAAGACCCCGTCTTTACAAACCATATAAATAAATAAATAAATAAATAAATAAATAAATAAATAAATAAATAAAGATGATGGTGGTACAGGCATTAGGGCAGAGCTCCACCCAGGGTATATTGTTGGGATGCTACCTTAGGTTGGGTGCCTGAGACAGAGATTTGAGTGGAAGTGGCTTACTGAGGCAGAACTCTCTAGAGAAGGGCAGCAGCAAAGGGCAGGGGATGGTGCTGTGCAAGGATGTGACCTCAACTGGAGCCTTGCCTTGGCTAGGCTTACAGGGACTCCAGAGTGTGGACTGTGCCACAGAGTGGGTCCCACCTTGAGGCAAGGGGGCTGATCTGTTGTACCCCTGTGTCAATCAGTCATTTGGATGCAGGCTGCCCCTCTTTGGGCAAGGAGGAGACCTGTGGAACTTCCCCAGCAGGGCAGCTCTGGTCTGACTGAGGGCAGTTCTCGCGTAGGGGCAGGGGTGAGCTGTTAGCAGTCTGACTTCATAGCAGCTGAGGGGTGGCCACCAGCCTAGTTACAGAGGAGCAGGGAGAGGCACCAAGAGTGGCCACTGTAGATGCCCATGCTGATATAAGAGGGCTTAAACCAAGGGTTGGCAGACTTTTTCTCTAAAAATACAGATTAAGGTAAGTGTGTTAGGGTTTGTGGGCCATCCAGTCTCTGCCACAGCTCTTCAGCTCTGCCACTATAGCACAAAAGCAGCCACAGGTGTTATGTCAATGAGTGGGTGTGGCCACGCCTTATAAAACTTTACAAACAACTTCTGGGCCATACTTGGCCTGAGGGCCATAGCTTACCATGAGAGGCTTCTAAAAGAAAGGCCAGGGGTGGGGTTGGTTCCAGGTGGAAGCCAGGGCTCCTGCTCTGCTCCCTGCAGTTCTCTTGGTTCTGTTCTCTGCCCTCAAAATACCTTCATCCTCAGGTTGTTAACAAGATGGCCACCGTAGCACAGCCATAGGCATCACATCCACATACACCCACATACATCCACATACACCCACATACATCCACATTCAACCACATGCATCCACATACAACCACACACAACCACATCCATATACACCCACATACATCCACATGCACCCACACACATCCACATACAATCATATACACCTGCATACATCCACATGCAACCACATACACCCACATACATCCACATTCAACCACATGCATCCACATATAACCACATACACCCACATGCATCCACATTCAACCACATGCATCCACATACAATCACACACACCCACATACATCCACATGTACCCACATACAACCACATATATCCACATGCACCCACATGTACCCACATACAACCACATGCACCCACGTACAACCACATCCAACTACTTACATCCACATACATCCATATGCAACCACTGTCCAGCTGCAGAAAGGGCCCTTCTTAAGTGCAAGGAAATGTTCCCAGAAGTACCCACAGCAGCCCTTCCCCGACATTTCATTGGTCAAAACTGGGGCACGTGCCTACTTGTAAGCCAATCACTGGCAAGAATGGGGGCTCACACTTCACCAATGTAGACTCATCAGGATTGGCCTATGACACAAGCATTCCAGGAGCAAAGAAGCAGGCAAGGCCGGTTGGGTGGGCAGCCAGCAGTGCTTACTGCAAGAGGGTACCTGCATTTTTAAAAAATCAAATTGTTGTAGTATCAATTTATATACAATAACTGCATCAATTTGAAGTGTAAAATTCCTTAAGTTTAGATTTTAGGCCATGAAATCGCCACCCCAATGAAGATATAGCCTTTCTATTACCACCCCCAAAATGTTCCTCTAGCCTGGTGCAGGCCCTCTTACCCCAGGCAACCACCCATCTACTTAGATTAGTTCTCATTTTTCAAAATTGTACATACATGGAATCATCTATTAAGTATTCGTTTGAGTCTGGGTGCTTGCACTTTAAAGTAGCACCACTTTTTCCCCCTCCAATTGCTCATCCCCTAAGGTTGGGGTGACTCAAAGCACCTCTCTGAACATCCTTCTTTCCCTTTGAAGGACTGCCAGCACCCGTTCTCAGAGAAGGAAGCAAAATGCAATTCCCACACTGCCTCGCCACTGGTCCTTTCCATCCTTCTTAGGGGAAAGTCTGCTCTGCTCGCTGGCAAGTCCCTCCGTAATGTTAGTGTCACTCTCTGTATCTTCACAGCTGGCGCAGATCCTGCCAACTGAAGAGAACTTCCTTCTGTGCTTCAGGCAGCACGTGGGCTCCAGCGCCGAGTTTATGGAGGTGAGGCCAACGCATCATCTTCTTTCTAAGCATTGGGACCTGCCTTCCTCCTGTGTTCAGAGCCAGGCCCACCCTCCTGCCTGGTAATGGTCCCTGGGAGATGCTAAACCCCTTAGAACTCTGCTACTCAAAATATGGTCTGTGGACCAGCAGCATCAGTATCACCTGGGTGCCTGTTAGAAAAGGAGAAAGGGGCCAGGAATGGTGGCTCACGCCTGTAATCCCAGGCGTGATTACAGCCTTTGGGAGGCTGAGGCAGGCGGATCACCTGAGGTCAGGAGTTTGAGACCAGCCTGGCCAACATAGCAAAACCCCATCTCTACCAAAATACAAAAACGTTAGCCTGGCGTGGTGGCAGGCACCTGTAATTCCAGCTATTCAGGAGGCTGAGGCAGGAGAATCACTTGAACTTGGGAGGCAGAGGTTGCAGTGAGCTGAGATTGCACAACTGCACTGTCAGCCTGGGTGACAGAGAGAGACTCCATCTCAAAAAAAGAAAGAAAGGGAGAAAGGCCTGTAATCCCTACTCAAGGAGGCTAAGGCAGGAGGATCTTTTGAGGCCAGGGGTTCAAGACCAGCCTGGGCAACATAGTGAGACCTTGTCTCTACAAAAATAAAAAGCTACCATAGTGAACAGGATTAAAAAAAAAAAAAGATAAAAAACTTAGTGGGATATGGTGGTGCACACCTGTAGTCCCAGCTTCTCAGGAAGGCTAAGGCAGGAAGAGCAGGAGTTCGAGGCTGAAGATCACACCACTGCCCTCCAGGCTGGGCCACAGAGCAAGACCCTATCTCAAAGAAAAAACAAAAAAATAAAAGGCAGACAGACTCCCTGACTCAGTGAATCAGAAGCTCCATTTTAACAAGATTCCCAGATGATGCGTGTGCACATTAAAATGTAGGGAGTAAGATGAGAAGTAAGCTTGGGTCAAGTACGCTTGAGAAATACTGTATACATGCATCTCTCGTTTGGGGATTTGTTGTGGTCATTTGCATATTACAGGCTCTGAGAAATCAAGCAATAAAGAAAACTGTGCCACTCAGTTTGGCTCCAGGATCTCATGCCACTCAATAATAATGTGTCTCTCCAAGTCAGAGTTCCAAGAAGCAGGCTTGGGAAAGAGGGACTTATGTACAATTCTATAGCTAGAAAAATCCAGTGAGGATTCCAGTTTCTGGTATCGTTCATGGTTCATCTTTGACTATGATAAGGTTTCGGTTTTTCTTTTTAAAATTAGCATTCCTGGCTGGGCACTGTGCCCCATGCCTGTCATCCCAGTACTTCAGGAGGCCAAGGCAGGTGAATAACTTGAGGTCAGGAGTTTGTGTCCAGCCTGGGCAACTTGGAAAAACCCCATCTTTACAACAAATACAAAAATTAGCTGGGCATGGTGGTGCACGCCTGTAATCCCAGCTACTCAGGAGGCTGAGACAGGAGAATCACTTGAACCAGGCAGGCAGAGGTTGCAGTGAGCCGAGATCGTGCCACTGCACTCCAGCCTGGGTGACAAAGACTCTGTCTCATAAATAAATAAATAAATAAATAAATAAATAAATAAATAAAATTAGCATTCCCCTCTTGGCAATATAATTTCCTTAAGATCTTCATGTAAAATATGATGTTCAAACTCATTTATCTTGAGTAATATTCACCTGATAAATGGAACCATATGAAATTGCTGATATTTAACGATTTTTTTACTTACAAAATGTGGACATTCTATGTGGTTCAACCAAATATATTACTAATCCTGATGTCCAGCAAACTGCCAATTATTTCTTGCTCTCTTTCTGGTACTTTGCACTCTAACTCTTCAGTATGTGCATCCCTCAGAGTGAGATTCAACCCATACTCACCTCACGAACTGCCTGCTCTGATAAATAATGACTGGCCTTCAACGTGACTCTCTTTGCTATTCATCGGGGTTAAATCCATTTCCAGCCACCGGTAATCCCCTCTCCATGATCCACTGCCTGTAACAACTGGAAAGCTGGCCCAGAAACTCGCTTGCAGCAAGCTCCCCTCCTGGGCAGGCAGACAGAAAGAACCAGTTCTCAGGGTGGAAGAGTCATTTTTTAAGTGACAGCTTGCCTGAGCATCAGAGATGGATTTAATTTTATGGTGCTTTAAAAGATTTTTCTCCAGTTTTTTCAAGATGGCAAGATTCCACAAGCTGATAATTGACATTCTGGCTTCTGTTCTCAGTCCTTCGCTAGCCTGCCTGGGAGAAAAAAAGTTCTGTGCATCCTTATAACTTGTCAGGGTGTTGCTTTTGTATCAAGTTTTCCAACTATAGAAAAGGGAGCATCATGCCTGACTCCTTTCCTGATAGAGAGACAGCCAAAAACTGGCCTCTATTCCACCTCTGGTCTGGAAACAGGGATGGGGCAGCTTGTAGGGGGGCAGGGACGCTCACAGAGGAGCTAAAAGCATTTCCCCGGACCCTTTTCTCTTTCTCTTTCTCAAAATCATTAGTGGCTTCTCTCTGTGCAGCTGACAGGATTTCTTTCTTTCTTTCTTTCTTTCTTTCTTTCTTTCTTTTTCTTTCTTTCTTTTCTTTTTTTGAGACGGAGTTTCGCTCTTGTTGCACAGGCTGGAGTGCAATGGTGTAATCTTGGCTCACCGCAACTTCCACCTCCTGGGTTCACGTGATTCTTCTGCCTCAGCCTCCAGAGTAGCTGGGATTACAGGCATGCACCACCATACCCGGCTAATTTTGTATTTTTAGTAGAGACGGGGTTTCTCCATGCTGGTCAGGCTGGTCTCAAACTCCCGACCTCAGGTGATCTGCCAATCTCGGTCTCCCAAAGTGCTGGGATTACAGGCGTGAGCCACCGCGCCCAGCCTCAGGATTTCATATTCTTACATGCATTTGTCCTTCTAAGCCCCAGCGTAACTGCAGAGGAGACATGCCTGCCAAGGTTTCTGGGACCCCACCCTCCCACAGTACCATCCCACTGTCCCCTCCTGGGGTCTGTTCCATTTGTTCCATTTTTACCAGCCGGAAGCCTGAAATGGTCCCTCGGTAGCCCTGAAAGGCTTGTGCTCTCAGGTAGCTCCCATCCCAGCACTCAGCACAACTTCTAATTTTAAGGATGCCTCAGGATTTCTTTGAGATTTCACAAAGCCCAAGTCTCTTGAACTCTTTTCCTTGAATGAGAAGAGAAAGGACACACTGATGATGATGAGCAAAGTGCTGGATGGGGAGAGAAGGCAGGCGGGGGAGCCCAGAGCTGGCATCCTGTGGGGGTGCATGGTCGGGAGTGGACCCGCTGGCAAGATGGCTTGGAAAAGCAGCCACTGGTGCTTTGCTCTGTGCAGGGACTGGGGGGCTTCCTTCAGGTTATTGCCCTTTTAGGCAACTTGGAGGGGGCGTCTTCCTCTTCTCAGTAAAGACTCAACTTAGACCAACTAAACTCTGATGCACCAAGTGCCTGAGGGTTGTTGGTGAAGTCATATTTGGAAATCCTCACATATCTTTTAGTACCTTTTCAAGGGCAGACTTTCTGGCCATGGGAAGGAGTATTTCAAAGAGTCTGAGGCATTTTTCTGCAGGGAAAAGACACTCTTGTAATCAAATACCATCGACCTGAGTTGCATGTAGTACAAATCTACCCTTTTCTTGGGATATGCTCCTGTCTTGTAACAAAAAAAAAAAAAAAAATTCAGGACCAAAATTTCTGAGCCCTGTCACCATAAAAATTACATAACCTTGTTTGCTGATGTTTAAAAAGATACCTTTTCTGTAAAATATAACTAAACTCTAAATGTCCATAAACTCTAACACTCCTGACAATAAAAGGGGCACATGCGGTGGAGAAGTGGGGGAGGCGGGGGATAAGCTGTAGGAGAAGGATTAGTGGTTACTGACTCTCAGAAAATCAAGTGTTGCTGGTCTTCAGGTGTGCAGTTTGGAGCTGGGGGAGAAGGGAAGAAAAGTCAGGGGAACAAAACTTGAAAGAGAATCTAGGAGCCAGGCATGGTGGCTCATGCCTGTAATCTCAACACTATGGGAAGCTGAGGTAGGAGGATCACTTGAACTCAGGAGTCTGGAGATCAGTCTGGGCAACATAGTGAGACCCCATCTCTACAAAAACATAAAAAATTAGCTGGGTGTGGTGGTGCACGCCTGTAGTCCCAAGCACTTGGGAGGTTAAGCTGGGAGGATCACTTGAGTTTGGGAGGTAGAGGCTCCAGTAAGCTCTGGATGCCACTGCACCATAGCCTGGGTAACAGAGTGAGACCCTGTCTCAAAAAGGAAGAGGAAGAACAAGAAGAAGAAGAACAAGAAGAAGAAGGAGTAGGAGGAGGAGGAGGAGGAGGAGGAGGAGGAGGAGGAGGAGAGGGGGAGGAGGAGAGGGGGAGAAAGAAAAAAAGAAAGAAAGAAAAAGAAAAGAAAAGAAAGAAAGAAAGAAAAGAAAGAAAGAAAAAAAAAGAAAGAAAGAAAGAAAGAAAGAAAGAAAGAAAGAAAGAAAGAAAGAAAGAAAGAAAGAAAGAAAGAAAGAAAGAAGGGAAGGTGGGAAAGAGGGAAGGAAGAAAGAAAAAGGAAGGAAGGAAGGAAGGGAGGGAGGGAGGGAGGGAGGGAGGGAGGGGAAAAAATCTTAGTAATATGTGGCGCCAAACAGACCAAAGATTTAGGGGAACATGGTTCTCCAGGCATCTTTGCCACAGATGTGGGCAGTCCCCTCCCCTGCACCACTGCCCCTCCTGTGGCTCTCCCTCGTCTCCACCAGATGACTTGGTAAAAGGCAGAGATGTCACAGCAGTTGTATACAGGACCATTGAATGAGTTACTTATTGCTGTGTAATAAACTACCCCTAAAACTTAGCAGCCTGAAGCAACAAGCATTGATTACATCCCACTTTCTATGGTCAGGAATTTGGAAACAGCTTAGCCGCGTGGTTCTGGCTCAGGCGCTCATGAGATCACCGTCAAGATACTTCCCCTCATTTCCTTCTCTGTGACCTTGAAGGGTCTGGGCTACATCATCTCCATGTCTCCGTCCCCTTCCGATATTCTTGAAGATCAAGACCCTGGCTGGCCCATTAAAGGGGAATGGAAGGCAGGCAGGTAGATTTTGATACGTCTTTGCAAGGAGTTTGACATTCCCATTGTTGCAGGCTTGGCGGAAGTACGACACAGACAGGAGTGGCTACATCGAAGCCAATGAGCTCAAGGTAGGATGGGCCTTGGGGAGGGTGGGAGGCCAGAGTGGCGGTGGGCTTAAGGTACCTGGGGAGGGAGGAGATGTTGGATGAGGGGCATGGGTTTGCGGGCTGCTTAGGAATACTCAGACCTGGCACTGAATTGTTGAACTTGTTCAGAGAAGTCGGGAAATCGGTTACATAGAGCCGCCAGGCTGTAGAGTTCAACCAAACCCAGCTCTTCTGCACCTCCGTGCTCGGAACAGGTGTCCTCCAGGCAATTCCAGAAGATTGGCCTCTGGCTCCTACGTCCACTGCCAAATTCCTCTGACTATCACCCAGTGATTCCCCAGGCACTGCTTAGCTCCATATACTGGGCTCCGAGGAGGCAGAGCCAATCTCTAGCGCCTACTCTGTGGGGCAGGGTTGCACCACCAGCTAGTAAAGCCTTTGAAGTCACTCCCCAAGAGTTAAGAATTATGAGGGCCCTGAGTCATAGAACTGGTAGACCTGAAAACACACACACACACACACACACACACACACACACACACATTGAGAGACTGTCTGAATGAGCAAGTAAGGAAATGAATGAGGGACTGAATGCATGAGTCAGGAGTACTAAAGAGACCTTTTGTGTTGCAGGGATTCCTGTCAGACCTGCTGAAGAAGGCAAACCGGCCGTACGACGAGCCCAAGCTCCAGGAATACACCCAAACCATAGTGAGTGGACAGAAGTGTCCCTCTCCCCCAGGGTGCAGGACTTGGGCCCCAAGCCACTGGGGCTCTGGTGTGCAGGGTCTCTGAAGATTCTTCAGGCCCAGGGGAAGTGATTCACAGTGGCAGCTGGCAAAAAGGGATGCTAGTTCGTGGCTTCACATACCCTTTGAGGTCCTGGGTGTGAGCTGACTCATGGGCCAATGTGAGCGTCTGTCTCCATGGCAACCTCTGCAGCTCCAGGAGAGGATGATCTTGGAGAGAGTGGGCCTTTAGTGCCGGCCTGCTGTGCCCCAGCAGCCCCTGTCCCTGAGGAGGGGAAAGATGAGCAGTGAACGGGTCCCTGTGATCCCCCCATGGGACCCCCGTGACTGATTTAGGCCATGTTGGTCCTTGGCCCCCAGGGACCTCAGAGCAAGCATGAGCAGGTGCTACCTGTCCTCCTTGCTGTCCTCTCCAGTAGAAGGGGATGTCAGGTCAGAGAAATTCACAGCAAATAACCCAGGCACCTCTTTCTGTCCCCAACAGCTACGGATGTTTGACTTGAACGGGGATGGCAAATTGGGCCTCTCAGAGATGTCCCGGTAAGCACCTCACCCCCGGGGTGATACTGACTCCCACAGGTCATTCCTGTGCTACGATCCATCGCTGAGATCCATTGGTGGGAAAGTGACAGGTGCGGGTGTCAAGAAGCTCAAGACAAAGCGAGATAGAATTGTGACCGTCGACACCTCACCTTGTGTGTCTCCCTCATTTTTGACCTTCCCCCTGATTCCTTATTATGTATGAAGTGCTCAGAAATCATTTCTGTAACTGCAGGCACTGCCTCTGCCTTCCCCTCTCCCGCTTGCCCTTGCCTGTGCAGTCTCCTCACCTCTGCTCTAACATTTTCTCCCCAGACTCTTGCCTGTCCAGGAAAACTTCCTGCTTAAATTTCAGGTAAAACTTTGCTTTCCTTCCTTCCCCCTTCCCTCATCCCTCTGAGCCTGGCCCTGCACCCTCCTTCCCCCAATGCACCACACACTACACACTACACACACACCACACACACAAAACACACCACACATACAACACACACAGATCACACACACAGACTACACACCACACACACACAAAACACACCACACACAACACACAACAGACCACACACACGCAGACCACACACACAACATACACATCACACACACACACCACACACATACACAGACACATCACACAGCACACAGAGACCACACACCACACACCACACCGACACAACACACATCACAGCACACACCACACACACCACACACACAACATACACATCACACACACACCACACACATACACAGACACATCACACACACACCACACAGAGACCACACACCACACACACACCACACACAGACTATATATGACACACACACAACACCCAGACCACACAACACATACACAACACACACAGACCACACAGCACACACATATACAGACACCTCACGCACACATCACACGGAGACCACACACCACACACACCACATACTACACACACAACACACACAGACCACTTACCACACATACCACATACACATCACACACACAACACACACAGACCATGTACCACATACACACAACACACAGACCACACACCACACACACATACAAACATTACACACCACACACATACACAAACACCTCATGCACACACCACACAGAGACCACACACCACATACACACCACACACATTACAAACACACACACCACACAACACACACAACACACACACATCACACACACCACAGACACACACCACACAATTATAGACACACCACACATCACACACCACACATCACACATATACACAGACCACACGCACACCACAAACACTACACACACACCATACCACACACATGACACACACACCACACACATAAACACACACACCACTGCACTTCTGCTTCTGTCTTTAATACCCTGGTTCTTGCAGGGCATGAAGCTGACCTCAGAGGAGTTTAATGCGATCTTCACGTTTTACGACAAGGTAAGGGGGGAGTCGGCATGGGAGGGAAAATCATAAGCCCATCAGCCCGGCCAGAAGGCTCAGCTGCATCCACGGGAAGAGACAGCCTTCCAGGGGCTGCCTGGGCCGTGTGGTTTCTTCCTGCCGCATCTTCTGCTGTATTAGAAGGCAAATGTCATTCTCCACTGGTGGCCTATGGAGCCCAAGGGGTTGGTTTCTGCAGAATGCAGCCAAGGATCGTTGGGAGAAGAGGACTGTCCTTAGAACTAGGGTGTTACCACGCTGTCAGGAGCCAAAGGGAAGAGACACTCAAAACTGCCCTGGTGCCAGATCACAATTCTGCCCAGGGCCAGGTCTTTCTCTGGGAAGTTGGAAGTTGGATGACCTCCATACCCACCCCTTCCTTGGCTGTCCCCTGCCCACATGACTCCAGTGGTCTTCTTCATAACCAAAGTATTGGAGGTAAACTTTAAATAGCCCCCGGACTCAGGGAGTTAACCACATGCTTCTTGAACCTCACTTATATTTTCAATGCAGATGAAAAGCACCACAATGAAAGGCTACCCAAAGCTTGCGCCCACTGCCACCTTCCTGCCATGACTGGTCAAGGCAGAAGGGACGCATTATTTTGTCGTTACACGATCTGAACACCCCATTTTGCACAGAGTAATGGAGAGGCTAGACTCTTAGACATCCCTGCAATGGGTCGGGACAGTAGGGGCTCAGGCTTTAGAACTCTGGGTTGACTCTGCTCCCATCCCCAGGACGGAAGCGGCTACATTGACGAGCATGAGCTGGATGCCCTTTTGAAGGATCTGTATGAGAAAAACAAAAAGGTGAGCAGCTGGGCCTGAGGCCTGGCCACCGTCCCCAGGGCGCGGGAGAGGCTTCTGCGGGAGAAGAGGGGAGAGGTGCCTGGTTCTGCTCTCTGCTCCCCTCTGATCTGCCACAGCAAGGCAATAGCCATTCTGTGGGTTTGCTTTAGGTTTTTTAATTTCTGGTTGGTTGATTAATTGATGTTTCTCTTTAAAATTTAATTGCAGCAAAAAGCACAGGACAGAAAGCTTACCATCTTCACATTTTTAGTGTACAGTCCAGTGGCATTGAACACATTCATAATATTGCACATGCATGGCCACCTTCTCATCCTGTAATGCCAAAACCTGTACCCATTAAAAAATAACTCTTCATTCCCCTGTCCCCCATCTCCTGCCAACCACTCTACTTTCTGCCTCTGTAAATTTGACTGCTCTAGGTACCTCATGTAAAGAAACTCGTATAATCTTTCTGTGCCTATTTCACTTTGCATAATGTCCTTGCAGGCTGATCCATGTTGTGGCATGTGTCAGAATTCCCTTCCTTTTTAAAGCTGAATAATGCTGCATCGTATAAATATACCACATTTTGTTTACCCATTCTCCTCTGTGGATGCTTGGGTTGCACCCATCTGCTGACGGTTGTGGGGGATGCTGCTGTGAGGCCATGACAGTGTTGATGTGTGAAAGTGTTAGCCTGATTGCCAACCAAAAAAACACTTTCCACCGAGAGAGAGATTTTGGAAGACAGGGGCCAGTGAGAGGGGAAGGGCTAGTCTGGATTGATGAACTGCAGAATCAGGAGCTGGGGGAGGGGTTAAAAGGAGCTACTGAAGAGTTTGTTCCTCTCAAAGAAAAGGCAAAGAAGTGAACTCCATTATTTTGCCTGATGTTGCCTCCTGGGAATACCCTGGGAGACCCTCCCAGTGGGCTCAGTTTGGTCCCTGGGTGGAGGAGTCAGGTGGAACAGCAGCCAGGAGCCAAAACTTTGCACCTGTCTTCCTTCACCACCCGGAAAATGTCTTTCTCTGAGCAAATGGTTTTGCTGCTTTCTTTAATTAGATAATGAAAGCTCCACAATTCCTTGAGTTGTCTCACCACCTTGGCTGACAAGCAAGAGCTAACTTTAATGCTCAATTTCAGGAAAAAATTATCTGCAGCCTCTGAGTCTGTTTATTTCTCTTTCCAAGTGCTTTCTGATCTCTTTGTCTTAAATATCATCCTTCATTTGTTTCATCTTTTTTATTTAAATGTTACCTACAATTACTCTTGAAAAAGGCAGAAAATAAATGATAAGGAAGCAAATACTTCCCGGGAAGAAGGAAGCACTCACCAGGTGTTTGAACTCGGCCAACCTTTTTCTTGGCACTAAATTCTAGGAGAAAATTATGTGTGTGCCCTGATGTATCCAAGGAACGTTGGGCACCATAGTGGAAAATATCTTTACGTGTAATTGTATGAATGAGGCGTAGTTTGTCTTCATGAGACTCTGCCTTATACGTGAGGTGGATAAACCCTGAAGACATGCATTAAATCTCAGAGTGACCTGAATTTCCTGGTCATCAACTCACTAAGCTCTTCCTTGGTTCACACAAAGGACAGCTTGTGGTGCTGCACAGCTTGACTCCAGGTATGGAAACAAAAGATTCTGCTGTTGGGATTCAGAAGCCACTCTGAGGGTCAGAGAGCAACAATATTAACAAAGCTATTTACCTGAGAGCCTTCCACCTGTACCAAGTTTCAGATTTGGCGCCTGAGGATTGAGAGAGTGAATGAGTAGAAACGGACAGCTGCATGACTCTAAATCACAGCACCTGTGCTGGAAAGGAAGGGCCCTTTTTTGTAAACCCACATAGATGCACGCATTCCATTTGGATGGTGCCTGCATGGAGTGTGATAAGCGTTTCTGAGCAGATTAATGTTTGAGGCACCTGGAGGGGACAAGCTGATGGGATTGAACTTCAGTAGTTCTTAGCACTCCTGAGGCCGTGGCAACTTGCTAGAGCCTTCCCCAGGTTTAAGTGAAACTTATAGGAAGTAAAGCAACCCCTCCTGCCATGCTGCTAAGTCTCTCGCTGTCACAGTTCACTGTGGAAGTTGTCCCAAGCTTGGGGTTGATAGATGAGGTCCCTTCCTTGGCTCCTGATTAAGTGGCAGATATCTCAGGTGCACACCAGTGTTACGTGACATTTCCAAGAACATCACAACTTAGGGAAAATGCCTCTCAAAGCTAGACATGCTTGCAAAGTGCCCTCGGGTTTTCAAACCAGAAATTAATGGCATAAAAAGAGAAGTCCTGGCACAATGGGAAAAAAAGACTGGCCTTCAAGCCCTGAGAAAGAGGTGACAGAATAGTGCACAGTGAATCATTAGACTTCAGGGCTCATGATTAGATTACAGATATTCATGAGCATGACTGTACCTCACTTTTCTTATTAGCAGGATGGAGATAATGACCCATCAGCCTAGAAGGGAAAAAAAATTAAGTATCTGCCAACATTTTCAGTACAAAAGAATAAAAGTAAGAAGAACTGGGTGTAGTGGCACCCACCTATAGTCCTAGCTGCTTGGGAGGCTGAGGCAAAAGGATCACTTGAGCCCAGGAAGTCAAGGATGTGGTGAGCTGTGATCACAGCATTGCATTCCAGCCTGGGTGACAACAGGAAGACCTTGTCTGAAAAAAAAAAATTAAAAAAAAAAAAAGTAAATAAAAAGGGACGGAGTGGGGGAGGAGAAGAAGTAAAGAAGGAAAGAAAGAAAAGGTTGTTTACGTGATTTTCCAGTGTTGATGATGACCTTGCTATATTTCAGACCCATTGGTTATTTGTATCCGAAGCAATGATTGTAAAGCATGGATTTAACATCAGGTATATCAGGTGTTGGTATTTAATATGGGTCTCCATTTATATGAGACAATGGGCATATGTTCATGGTTCACCTGTCTCATTGGCCACTAAACACCACAAGAAGCCAGTGAACAAGAAGGAGGCTAGCAAGCTTTATTGTTGGAGAAGCTGGGATTTAGAATTTGTTGCTTAAATAGTGGCTGGGTGCAGTGGTTCACACCTGTAATCATAGCACTTTGGGAGGTGGAGGCGGGAGGATCTCCCGAGGTCAGGAGTTTGAAACTAGCCTGGCCAACATGGCGAAATCTCATCTCTACTAAAAAAAAAACAAAACAAAACAAAAAAAAAAAAGAAAAGAAAAGAAAAGAAAATGGAAACATTAGCTGGGCATGGTGGCAGGTGCCTGTAATCCCAGCTACTCGGGAGGCTGAGGCAGGAGAATCTCTTGAACCTGGGAGGCAGAGGTTGCAGTGAGCCAAGATCGCGTCACTTCGCTCCAGTCTGGGCTACAGAGGAAGACTCTGTCTCAAAAAAAAAAAAAAGAATTCCTTGCTTAAATAGATGAGACTTAGGAAAGAGTACTCCAGGAGGCTGGAAGGCAAGACCAGGGAGCTTTCCTGGCATTCTCTTCATCACCAGCAGGGAGCCAGATTGGCCTTGAGTTAACAAAGGCCCAATGAGGTAGAGGAATATATACAAGTTATATGTAGATCATGACTGTCACAATAACTACCTTTTATTTTTCAAGTGCTTGCTGATGTGGCTTATATTCATTCCCTCATATAATCATCGCAACACCTCAATGAGGCATGAACTTTTAGTGTACCCATTTTACAGGTGAGGCAGCTGAGTCTCAGGAAGGTTGACTACCTTCCCCAAAGCAGTGCAGCCAGTTAGTGAACGAGAGGCTTTAACCTCCGTCTGTCTGACTCCAAAATCTGTGCTTTGCATTCATCTAAGCCACTTATCCTGGGATGAGATGAGGGAAAGTTGCGGGCTTTTGTGAATGTGGATGTGGGCTCCTTGGGTCGGGGCCATCCCCTGAACCTGCTCTTACCCTCTCCCTGTATCTCCTAGGAAATGAATATTCAACAGCTCACCAACTACAGAAAGAGCGTCATGTCCTTGGCAGAGGCAGGGAAGCTGTACCGCAAGGACCTGGAGATTGTGCTCTGCAGCGAGCCCCCCATGTAAAGTGGGGATGGGGGCTGCTTCTCCACCTCCCCCAAACCCTGCTCCTGCTGCCCTGATGCCTCTACCCAGACCCAGAGACCATGAGCGCCCCACCCCCACCCCTGCAGCCTGCACACACCTGCCTGCAGAGCAGGAAAGGAGAGATGGAGGATGGGCTGCTGGGGGGCCATCCTGAGCCCCCTGCACCCACCCCTGCCCAGGCAGACTACTCTGCCTCAGTGGATCACACACACGGAAGGTGATGGACATGGGTGGAGGATCCCTAATTCTCTTCGCTGTGATGCATGAGCTCCCTCGCTGTGTGATTTAGGCTTCTATGTCCAACAGAGTGGACTCTTCCCTCTCGCTCCCCTCTGCCAGTCCCCCATGCCACCACCCACCCCAAACTTCCAGGTTCCATCCGCCACCTTGCTAATGGTGTAGCTGTCCTCTCAGAACGCCTGTGTGTGGAGGGCACCCGCCCTTTCCTTGCCTTTTTACTTGGCGTGCTCCTTTTCTCTTTGGGTTTCTTGTTTACCAAAGAAGAGTTTACAGACAATAAAATGGAAAGGTTCTGCTGTGGAAGCTTACCCAGTCCTGTCTCGTGGTCAGCTTCTCTCTGCAGCTAGCAGCTCTGCTTGACAAAGGGAGGGCCTATTCTCACATGGGTGGAGGAGGGTAATGGGACCCACCTAAGTGGGGCATAGGACCCTCAAGACTCTAGGGCTTTCAGTCACCATTCATTGCCTGTCTCTTCACCAACCTGAGTCACTTCTTTGTTTCATGTTTGTTTCTGTATCTCTGAGATTATAACATAGCTTACAAGTTCATGGAAGTCTTACTACGGGTGGTATTAGTATTGTGCTCAACAGTTGACCTGGAGTATCTTTCTTAATCCTTTGAGAGAGGTGCTGTGATTGTCTCCACTGTCCAGGCAAGAAAACTGAAGATTAAAAAGGTTTGGGGCCTGGCGTGGTGGTTCATGCCTGTAATCCCAACACTTTGGGCGGCCAAGGTGGGCGAATCACCTGAGGTCAAGAGTTCAAGACCAGTTTGGCCAACATGGTGAATCTCCATCTCTACTAAAAATACAAAAATTAGGCCGGGTGTGGTGGCTCACACCTGTAATCCCAGCACTTTGGGAGGCTGAGGCGGGCGGATCACAAGGTCAGGCGATGGAGACCATCCTGGCTAACACAGTGAAACCCCGTCTCTACTAAAAATACAAAAAATTAGCCGGGCGTGGTGGCAGGTGCCTGTAGTCCCAGCTACTCAGGAGGCTGAGGCAGGAGAATAGCGTGAACCCGGGAGGCGGAGCTTGCAGCGAGCCGAGATCATGCCACTGCGCTCCAGCCTGGGCAACAGAGTGAGACTCTGTCTCAAAAGAAAAAAAAAAAAAATTAGCCAGATGTGGTGGTGCACACTTGTAATCCCAGCTACCTGGGAGGCTGAGGCATGAGAATCACTTGAACCTGGGAGGCAGAGGTTGCAGTGAGCCAAGATTGCACCACTGCCCTGCAGCCTGGGCAACAGACTGAGACTCTGTCTCAAAAAGTAATTTAAAAAAATAGATAAGTAAGTCAATATATAAATAAAAAGGTTTAGTAACGAACCCTGGCCAGTTGGGGCAGAGCCAGGGTATGACTCCAGCAGATTGGATCCACTTTATACCAATGGGGTCCCTACCACTGGGACTAGGTGATTTCCACCAAGCAGGAAGGACCTCCAGCCAGAAGCTCTAGACCACCAGAACTTAACTTCTCCTCCTCGAAGTGCAAGTTACCCAACACCCGATCCCATGCCTCTTGGTGTAGGGCCAGCTTGGGTCCACAGAGCTCTTAGATCCTAGAATAGAGAGATGACTGATTTTTTTTCATGCTGTCACATATTGATTGTCTACAAGACATATTTTAACAACACTACCTCATTTAATCCCACAACAGTCCTACAAGATGGATACTATTTTCAGATAAAGAAACTAAGGCTCAAAGACATTAGGGGATGGGGTCAGGGGAAATTAGGGACTCAAATTTATTTGCCTCCCTCATGTCTCAGGGCCCCACACTTCCCCCACTGGCATCCTTACCTTGGGGTAGGAGCTTTGCCTCTGCAAACTTGCAGCCCTTGTCAGTTCAGCCATATCTGCCCTTGGACCACAGGAGATGAAGAACTCCTTCCAGGTCATCCTAGAGGTCTTCTTAATCTTCATGTATGCTCTTAATTGTATATTTGTAGTTTTAAAAATTCTCAGTTGGTCAAGGTGGCTCACATCTGTAATCCCAGCACTTTGGGAGACCAAGGCAGGTGGAGGGCTTGAGCTCAGGAGTTCGAGAACAGCCTGGGCAACACAGTGAAACCCCATCCCTACAAAATATACAAAAAATCAGCTGGGCATGATGGCATGCAAATGTGCTCCCAGCTACTCGGGAGGCTGAGAGTGGGAGGATTGCTTGACCTGGGAGGTCGAGGCGCTGCAGTGAGTCAAGATCACGCCATTGTACTCAGCCTGGGTGACAGAGTGAGACCCTGTTTCAAAAAATAATATTTTTCCTTATGTGTACTCTCTAGAGCCACAAGAATGATCCAGATGACCCCACAATCTTTAAATTCCTTTTGGTTGCCATAGGAACTAAGTACCACAACCATTTGAAGCACCATTTGAAACCTCAGTGCTTTACCCTCTACCCACCTATTTTCCCTGTCCCTACCAGTAGTCATTTGAGGATTTGTGATGACACCACCTGTGATGAAGAATCCATGTTCTCTTTCCCTCTGACAAAGAGGCCATCCCTGTCTTTCTTGAGTGATTTATCAACCCAACCCCAGAATATCCAGATCCTGTTTCCTAGGGCCATCTCCAGTACCAGTTACTAATTCAGCGTAGATCCCCATAGGAAACAGACTTCACCTTCCAATCATACTCAAGGAGGATTTGTTCACAAACAGCTTTTATATACATGTGGGTGAAATATAAGGGACTCATAAGGGATAGTGGTGAACCAGGGACTAGTGACAGGGAAGTTGCTGTCACTACACTTAGGCCCAAAGGAATGAGAGGAACCCAGAAAGGAAGAGTCGTCCAGGGAATATCACACGTTCTGTTCAAGCACACAGCCAAGCCCAGGTTAGCCCTTATGGAGTAAACACATGCCCCCTCCTCCCTGCTTCCTTCCCATCTCCTTCTAGGGTTCCACATTGCCTGAAGCCAGAGGGCAAGGAGCCTACTAATGGAGTCCACACAGGCCAGCCTCAAGGACAGAAAACAAGCAGGGAAGGGTGGGGAGTGATGAAGAGGGTCAGTGAGGACACACCCAACATACTCAGAAACTACAGACACCAGTTGGCACTGAATATGTGAACCTGAAGTTCTGGAAGATGTCAGGGCTAGAAATATGAATTTGTAAAACATCGGTGCAAAGATGGGTTGTAAGGTGGTGGGAATGGCATGAGATTCCCCCAGGAGATACTAGAAAGGACGTCTGAGATAGGATCTCTGGGTCCTCCCATAGTGAGAGCTCTGGAAGGGAAAAGGACATGGCCAGGCAGGCAGAGAGAAACCAGGAGGATATGGTTTCCTGAAAGACAAGTGAAAAGTGGTGTCTGAAAAATGAGGTAAGTGATCAAAGGTATCAGATACTGCTGAGATGTATGAGGGCTGAGATTTCAAAGCCTAGTTGTCTCCTTATCCAAGTCCTCCAAAAAGATAATGGGAACTCCTAGAGGTGGGGGCTGTATTTTTTGAGCAGTACATGGCCACAAGAGTGCACAAATGAATGAATGAGTGACTCCACCATCAGGGAAAGAGGGTGGGTGAACTTTAGAAACCCTTTAGGGAATAATAAAATAATAACAACTCCAAGAACCTCGGGACATGAGCTAGTCAGAATGTTACCTTTGCAGTAGTCAGGCCTTTGGAAAGTGACAGAAATCCAGGTGCAACTGGCTCAGGCAAAACAGAGAATTAGTGGATAGAAGCTGGACTATCTCATATGTCTGGAAGGGCCTCCTGGACAACCTGAGCTGGGAACTCACATACTGCCACGACTCTTCTCTCTCTTGTTTCTGCTTTGCTGTAACTGATGGCTTTATTTTCTCAAACTGATGTCTTCCATATGGCAGGAAACATGACCTTAGCTGGCTATATCCCCACCGTCTAGAATGATGCCAAGCACACAGTAGGTGCTCAATAAATATTTGTCACATGAATTCATTGGCTCCAAGCTACACATCTGGCAAAGGACTGTTTCTCTTCCCTTAGTTCTAGTTCAAAATGCCACGGAGGAGGAGCTCTAATTGACCCACCTTTGGTCACATGTTCACCTCCGACCAATCACCCATGGCCAGCAGGTGGGGTGATCCTCTTAGAATCAGACATGTGGTACAGGGGATGGGAATTTCAAAGAGTAGATGAGTGATCCAGTCCCCAGCAGGGAACAGTGGTCACCCAACAAATCCCCATTTTACAAATGAAAAGAATCGAGGCCATAAAGTTTAAGTATCTCTCCCCAGATCACAAGACCACCCAGAAGGAAAGAGCTGTGCAGAGAATGCCACACGTTTAGCTCAAGCACCAGAGTCCAGGTCTTCTTCACTCTTGGCCCGCTAACAGTAGGAAAGGATTGAAGGAGGAAAGGGCAAGACAATAGGAATTCACATGTTAGAACTTGAAAACTCGGGGGAAGGGATGTTGGATGCATATGGAAGATGGGTGCATATGTCAACACGTGGACATGTATGTAAGTGAACCTGCAGGAGGGAACAGGATGCCTATGTCAACATGTTGGCATGTATGTAAGTGAACCTGCAAGAAAGGACCGGATGCATATGTCAATACATGCGCATGTACGTAAATGAACCTGCAAGAGGGCCCGGGATGCATATGTCAATGTGTGCACAGGTACACAAGTAGCCAACAAGGGGTCTGGCAGACCACTCAGGACTGATGGTGGATGTGGAGGGGGCACGGGATTGGGCGTGATACATACAGTGAGACTGAAACTTCATCCAGAAGAAACCCTTCTTCCCAAGGCATATTTGTGTCCTGTTGGAGTCATAACAAATTAGAAACTTCTCAGCCCTCCTTATTCTAGTTCTGGGTAAGGGTGAAGAGAGAAACAGAGGGAACGGGGCTGTGTTTTGACGCTTGTGGGCCCTGGGCAATTTTGCTTTGGTGAACACCTTTCTCCATAAAAAGTATTGTAAAATATACTGCATGACTGAATTGGTATAAGGATGAATATGTTGATATTCTGTGCTAAAACATTTTATTCAACCTAAGATGTCATCTTTCCTCAGCTTTTAAAAAGAAATTAGGACGTTTTTGTGTGTTCCTTAAAGTGGCCTGGGTGCTGAGCACGGCACTGACTAGATCTGATGGAGAAGACAGACCGGAGAGGGAGTGGCCATTACATTTTCGGGTGGGCTTTGGGTCAGGAGCCACACACACATATAGGCAGGGACTCTTGTTATGAAGGCATAGTGGCGAGATGTCGTTCCTAGCTAAAGCCAGGAAGAACATGTGGGGTGAAGGTGTCTCCAAGTGTCCTATCAGGAAAACTGCTCAGGAAATAGAAAATGGCCCAGCACAGAGAACC